GCCCAGGAGCAGCAGCAGTCCGACAGGAGCAGGAGAGCAGCTCCTCTGGCGGCGCTGGCAGCTCGGGCGGCTCGGGCGGCTCGGGCGGCTCGGGCGGCGCGGGCGGCTCGGGCGGCTAGGGCGGCTCGGGCGGCCCGGGTGGCTAGGGCAGCGCGGGCGGCTCAGGTGGCTCGGGCGGCGGCACGGGCGGCTGGGGCAGCTCGGTGGCGGCTCACGGGCGGCTGGGACGGCGCGCGGGGAGCTCACGGGCGGCTGGGCGGGCGGCCAGGGCGGCTCACGGGCGGCGGCGGCGGCGTCAGCGGTTCACGGGCGGCGTCGGCGGATCACGGGCGACGGCGGCTCACGGGCGACGGCGGCGGTGTCGGCAGCGCACGGGCGGCAGCGGCGGCGTCGGCGGCTCACTGGCGGCAGCGGCGGCGTCGGCGGCTCACTGGCGACGGCAGCGGCAGCAGCGTCTGCGGCTCACGGGCGGCGTCGGCGGCGTCGGCGGCTCACGCGTGGCGGGCGGCGGCGTGGGCTGCTCACGGGCGGCGTCGGCAGCTCACGGGCCGGCTGAAGGCCCACGGGTGGGCGGTGCGCGGGCAGCGCCGGCTCACGAGCGGGCGGCGTGACGGGCGGGCGGCGGGACGGGCGGCGGCGTCACGGGGGGGGGGGGGGGGGTGACGGGACTGGCGGCGGCGTCACGGGCGGCGGCGTCACGGGCGGCGGTTCACGGGCGGCTGCGTCACGGGCGGCGCTCACGGGCGGCGCTAAAGGGTGGCGACGGGCGGCGGCTCACGGGGGGCGCTACGGGCGGCCGCACGGGCGGCGCTAACGGGCGGCCGCACGGGCGGCGCTACGAGCTGCGCAAGAGGCGGCGCAAACGGGCAGCCGCACGGGCGGCGCTAACGGGCGGCGCTAACGGGCGGCGCGAACGGGCGGCTCGAAAGGGCGGGCGCTAGGGCGGGCGTTAGGGCGGGCACTAGGGCAGGCGCCAGGGCAGAAAAAAAAAGGTTCTAGGTGGTGGGCCCGAAGCACAGTTCCCACAGGGGAACCTGCTCTGATTCCATGTGAATAAGTGAACGAGGGAATGAATGACTATGAAGTGAAGTGAATACAAATAGGAAACCCTAATGTGTTGTACCCCCTATGGGATACCCCACTATAGCCTACACAAACAAGTAAGCTATATGTTCTGACACAATCTCCATGACTAAGCCAATGCGGGGCTCAGCAATCCCATTCTGCTATGGAGAGGCCGGCAGTGTGAACGTCTGGCGGATGCCGTGCTCTGCACAGTAGGCTGCCAAGAGGTTAGAGGAAAACTCACCACCCCTGTCAGAGTGCAGATGCAGGACTGGAAATTCCGACTGGAACCAGTCGCGGCGCTGGAGACGAGCAGCGCAGATCCAAGGGATCAAAACATCAGGGACCTCACCCTTGGTGCGCAAGGGGAAGACCGTGCTATAGCGTGTATAGTCGTCGACGACCAGCAGGAAGTACCGCTCGTGGCCATGTCCACGGACGTGGGCTGGGCCCCACACGTCCAGGGTTACCTGAGACGCAGACGCAGCTACCTGAGGGGACTCATTGGTCAGTGTGTACAGGTCCGACCCCGGTTGCCGAGTAAAGTTAGCCAGGTGGCGACCCGTCCGAGCACACGTACAGTGGGTCACACGCTCATAGGCAGGGGTGAACTGGTGAACACCCCCGTCCTGGAGAGCAGAGCCCGCCACCAAGTTCGTAGAGAACGAGGGGAGGTAAAGACCCGACAGGGTGCCGGACGGAACCTTCGGATAAGGGAGGACAGTGGAGGAGGTCGCAAGGTCTTAGCCCCCAGAGGGGTCAGCGAGAGAGACCGCAACAGGCCGAGCTAGCCGCTCAAGGACAGTGCGGTCACGAAAGAAGCAGCGAGAAGCACCCGAGTCCAGTGTGAAGGTGTGCAGTGCCTCAGTAGACGCAGTACCAGCAGGCGCAGACTCACAAGCACCTGGAGCAGCGGACTCACTGGCACCTAGAGCAGCAGCCTCACCAGGACCTAGGGCAGCAAACGCACTAGCACCTAGAGCGGCAGTCTCACTGGTCCCAATACCCGGGTCGGGCGGTACACTCAGGTAGCAGTCACCCTCAACACTAATAGTCAGTGCATATATAGCACCACGGATAGCATCATAATCAAGAGCAAAGATATCAATTCCCTTCTTAAGCAAATCAGCCCAGCGGGGCAGCTCAGAGGCGTCAGGGAACTGCTCGCGCCAGGCGTCGTCGAGACGAAAGAAGCAGCGCTGTGCCGTGTGAAACCTCCCACAGGTCTGGCAGTGCGGTCACCTGTGCGGATGACGTACGGGCAGGTACCTCCACCCCCATACCCCCCACGCTGAGAGTACCACTCACGGAGCTGCTGGGGTGAGGGAGTCTCGCCGGGACGCTGCTGCTGCTGCCTCTGGCCTCCACCGGACCCCCCACGCTGCACCGCCCCACCTCGCCCGCCACCAGCTCCACCGCCGCCACCACTGCCACCACCACCCCCACCACCGCCGCCGCCACCACCCCCTGCTCCGCCACTAACCCCCCCACCACCAGCGCCACTCCCACCTCCTCCACCACCCCCACCACCCCCACCCCCTCCACCGCCGCCGCCCCCGCCTCCCTCTCCGCTACCCCTGCCCCCCTTGCCCCTGCTGCCCTTGCGCCTCCCACTGGGAGCAGACGCAGCCCCGACCCCCTCAGCACCGAGGTAGTCGACAGCAGCAGCGGATACAATGGAGGGGAGAAGGGGGGAGGGGGAGCATCCCTCAAAGAAGGGAGTGTGAGGGTTGCCACGAGAGGCACCTACAGCTACAATGCTCTTCTCAGCTGCTAGGAGTTCCTTCTCGAGTAGGTCGACAGTGACGTCTGTGGGGGAGAGGGCGAGAAAGTGGTTCCTGACAGTGCGAAGGGAGTCAGGGAGGCGGGTGACTAGGTGGTACAGTGTGAGGTACATCGGGGGTGGGTTCTTGGCTAGGAAATTGGGGGGAAGCGCGGCACGGTAGCGGAGATCACTAGTACGGAGGTGAGTGATGAGGTCAGCGACAGTGGCAAAGGCAACCAGATCGGGAAAGAGGTAGGGTAGCGGGAGACGGCCTATCGCAGCAGTAGCAGGGGAGGAGTAGCGCGCAACTACAATATCGTACAGTTCCTTAGCGGTCTTATGCTGGCCGAAGTACTCGCGCTCATCTAACGGCAAGTGGCTGCGAACGGCTAGGCGAGCGTGAGCATCACGGGTCTGCCACTGTGAGCGAGCAGTACTGTCAGCAGTAGCAGCAGGTGTGGGAGCGGCGCCTGACGTGTGGTCATACAGGGAAACATCGTCCTTGGCAGTGATCTGGAGGAACAGGTGCAGGTCATCGAGCCAGACATCAAACTTAATCGGTCGGCCCTCAGCGTCAAAAGTGAGAACAGTAGGACTGGCCATAGTGGCAGTAGCAGTAGTCGCAGTAGCAGTAGCAGCAGTAGCAGTAGCAGTAGCAGTAGCAGTAGTAGCAGTAAGAACAGCTGTAACAGCAGGAACAGGAACAGTAGTTGCTGCAGGCGGGGCGGCGCGGCTCAGTCAGGGCGGCGCGACTCGGGCGGCGCGGCTCGGGCAGGTAGGGCGGCGCGACGGCGGGCCTATGCCTTGAGTGAGGCGGCGGCCTACGTTGGGGCGGCTGCCTACGCGGCGGCGGCGGCCTACGCTCGGGTGGCGGCCTACGCGTGGGCGGCGTCCTTCGTGGGCAAGGTGGCGGCCTACGCTCCGGTCGACGGGCAGCACGCACGCTGCTCTAGGGGCCGCGCGAGGCCAGGGCGGGCTACGCGTGGGCGGCGTCGACGGCGTGGGCGGCTACCAGGTCGCGCGCACTAGAAACGGGCCGCGCGCGGGCGGCTAGCGGGCTGTGCGGGCAAAAAAAAAACGGGCCGCGTGCGGGCGGCTAGCGGGCGACGCGGCCGAAAAGCGGGGTGCTCGAGGGCGCACAAGGAGCGAGGCGCACGAGGGCGCAAGTAAGAGAAGGCGCACGAGGGTGCTACTAGCGGATCGGTGGGCCCTTAGTAACGTTCGGTCCTAGGTTCCTAACCTAGGCTCGTAATACCATGTCAGAATGAGAGAAGTGATTGTACTAGCAAGATTGGGAGTACAAGTAGGAAAATCCTAGAATGTTGTACCCCCTAAGGCTAAACCCACTGTAGCCTATAGAACAGTAACATGTACAATGTTTGACAGTAGATACTCTAATTGCTTCTTCATGTCTGTCTGTTCAATCGGACTAAGGTGGTATGGTGCACGTGAGACGGGTTTCGCACCTGGTTCCTCCACGATCTCGTGCTCGTGGGTTCGCGATGGAGGTACTCCTGCAGGCAAGTCGTCTGGCATGATATCTTTGTACTGCTCCAACACCTCCTGTACTAGTGCAGGTAGCTCCGAGTTTGGCTTCTCCTCCTCTGCTACTGTCATCACCAGTGCTAAGTAACCCGTGTTACTCTCGTTTACTGTCCGTTTGAACCGTGCAAGTGTTGTCTCCGGGACATCCCCTGTATCCGTCCAGCTTCGCAGCTCCACACGTTCCCCGTTGTTGTAGATGCACACTTTCTAGTTGACCCACTCTATCTCGGGGTTGAACCACTTCAGAAAATCACGCCCCAACATGAAATCTAATCCCTTGATGTTCGTGATCGGCAACGTCGGCTTCCACCTTAATGCTCCTATCTACAGCTGCATTGTTGACTCACCGTGGATGGGAAGCTTCGTACCATCCACCATCGTTGCTGTAGATTGGGTCTCCTCCGATGACTCTCCAATTTTCTCCAACGTCTGCCGTCGCACACTGAGTGGGACGCACCACTCTCCTCCAGGGTCTGGAGGCGTCGCCTGTTGCAGATCACCTCGAGTACTAGTGGTTGTTGCCGCTCCGAGTAGTTGTAGATGGTGTTGCTTATAGGATCATAGTGTAGATCAAATGTATCATCCCTTGGTCCTGCGCTCGAAGCTGTTGTCTCAATATCAGGTATCACCTGAGTAGGGTTAGAAGGATTTATCCGAAGCTGGTACAGCTTCTCCTGAGCCTTAAACCTTCCCCTAAGCCTTTGCAGTTGTGTAAGCTTCACCTGTGGGGAACGGCGGGGAGTGTCAGAATGTTATTCTCTAGCCTGTAGTGGGGTGCTCTATAGCGAGTACAACCCATCTAGGGTTTGCTATATGTATCCTCATTGCTGCTAGTGAAACCCTCTCTTCTTCATTCCTCAATTCTCACATGCTATCAGAGCATCTACGGTCCTGGCCTGTGGGCCCACCTAACTGCTTCCGCTGCTACTCTGTGTCCGGCACGCCCCGTGGCGTGCCCCTCGCCCTACTCTTAGCGGCCCCGTTGCCGCCCTTCCAGGCCCCTTGCGGCCCCTTCGCGGCCCCGTTGCCGCCCTTCCAGGCCCCTCGCGGCCCCTTCGCGGCCCCGTCGCCGCCCCTTTCGCGGCCCGTCGCCGCCCTTCCAGGCCCCTCGCAGCCCCTTCACGGCCCCGTCGCCGCCCCTATCGGCCCCGTCGACGCCGCCAGCGGCCCCGTCGCCGACCCTAGCGGCCCCGTCGCCGCTCTTATCGGCCCCGTCGACGCCACCAGCGGCCCCGTCGCCGACCCTAGCGGCCCCGACGCCGCTCCTATCGGCCCCGTCGCCTCCGCCAGCGGCCCCGTCGCCGCCGCCAGCGGCCCAGTCGCCAACCCTAGTGGCCCCGTCGCCGCTCCTATTGGCCCCATTGCCGCCGCCAGCGGCCCCGTCGTCGCCGCCAGCGGCCCCGTCGCCGCCTCCAGCGGCCCCGTCGCCGCCACTTGCGGCCCCGACCCCGCCCCGGCCATGCCCCGTCGCCAGCCGCGGCGCACCGGGGGCACGTGCACCGCCCCCCCCCCCCCTTTTCCCGTTGCCTGTCGAGGCGACCTGAGGGGGCCGCGTGCGGGGGAGGGGGGCGAGCATCGCCCCTTCTGCCGCCTGTTTTGGCGCCCAGGGAGACCACGCGTCGCCCCCCCCCCCCCCCCCTAACCTCCCTACCCGCCGTCCCGCCCTGCCCTGTGTTAGGGTCTGGGGGTGGCGAGTAGGGGGTGACGGGTGTGTGGTCTCCCCTGCTCCTCCTCCTCCTTCGTCTCCCACTGCTGCAGCTGTCGCTGAGGGGGGTGGATGTGTGGGAGCCTGGGGTTTAGGGTTTAAGGGGGGTGCTGTGGGAGTGGAGCTAGGGTTTTGAGGGAGGTGGATGTGTGTGAGCCTGAGGTTTAGGGTGTTAGGGGGGTGCTATGGGAGTGGAGCTAGGGTTTTAGCAAGGGGTGTGTGTCGAGAGGTGTGGGGCAGCTGGAGGAGGTTGGTTGAACGGAGGTTGTCGTCGTTCACAAGGTCGGCCAAGTGGTCGAGCAGGTTCTGGTACGGGCCCATACCGGTGATCCACGCCTGGAAGAAGAAGCCGAGGGCAGCAAGCATGGCAAGGCGGGAGTTCGTGACCTCCTTGGTCTTGTAGGTGTGCATCTCAGCCTCGGTCTTGCCCAGGCCAGCGAAGTTGAAGACCGGGCCACCGGGGTAGATGGGGTCACCAGAGCCGCCGAGAACCTTCTCAAGACCCAGCAGGTACTGCTTGGAGCCATAGCCGGGCTTGTAGTAGTCCTGAGCTCTTCTGTGCTCGGCGAAGCCGATGAGGACGATCTCGAGGACGAACAAAGCATAGGGATCGGCCCTGTACTCGTAGCCGCCAAGAGGAGGGATCACACCAAACTGGAACCACACAATCTTGGGGCCAATGCCGTAGCTGCCGAGGATCTTGGGAGCGATCATGCCGGCAACACCGAGCATAGCCCAGCGGCCGTTGATCAGCTCGCCATAGGTGAGCCACTTGGGGTCGATAAAGTTGCCAGCACCTTCAGGGTCGGACAGGCCAAGGGGGTCGAAGCCAAAGTCGCCGGGGAGGGTCCCATCGAGGTAGCTCAGGGACTGGGGGAAGGCGAAGTAGGTCTGGCGAGTGGGCTTCTCAAGGCTTGTACGAGCAACGAGCCTCTGGCCGCGCACAGCAGAGATGGCAGGGACAGCGGAGCGCAGAGCCTTGCCGGCGACAAGGCGTTGGCTTGTAGCCTCGAAGGCAACCGGCGCGGAGGCAAGGGCACGGGTAGCAATGGCGGCCATGGCGTCAGAGTCCGAGAATGTGGATTCTAGGGTCAGACACCCTCTCTTCTTCATTCCTCAATTCTCACAGGGAGCCTTAACACCGTGCTGCTGGGAGAGAATATTAGCTCCTCGGAACGCTCGACCGTTATTAGCGCTCCAGAGTAGGGTCCCCATATTACCCGGTACCGGTTTAATTTCTGACTCTCCCTTAATAAATGCTTGAAACCCACGAGAAGTAATATTCTTACTTATCAAGGTGTATGGCTGGAGTTTCCCAGTCGGTGCAGGGTCTTGTTTCGCGGGGTCTCTATTTGTCTCAGCGATTTTCCCTGGTGCTGGCCGGTCGTGACATTTTAAATTCGCGCCATCATATTCTCCTTTTTTCGCCCTCTCTGAAGTTGCCACGTTGTATGTTTTCTACTTCGGGGGTGCCGCACTGTTTTTGTCCCTCAGCTCTGCACGCCTTCTTTTCATTTGTCAACATGACAAGATACGATGACCTGTAACGCAGCAAAATTCGCACGTCTCATTTTTTGCTAGCCGCTACTTCGCATCGCCCTTGTCGTTCTCCATTGGGTCGGCAGTCATGGGTGGTGCCGATCGCCCCAAGCCACTATTTGGTTGGTTGCGTCGTGTTTTGTTGTAGATACTGTTCAGCGCATCGAACGGTTCGATCAGTGCTGCACGAAACTGCGCCCATGTCCCTTCACCTTGGACTATACCGTTGCTAATCCACTCTAGAGCGGGGCCTCGTAACAGTGTTGCTGCGAGCCGTATGCGTATTGCGTCTTGGGTCGGGGTCGTGGATCCAACGGCTTCGAAATAAAATTCGAGTTCAGCTACGAATCGACGAACATCGCTCCCTTTCACTATAGGATCGAACGCGTCTGGTTGTCTCCGCTTCACTGCTTCGAGGTTAACCGTATCTGCTGCCGTTGTCGCAGATACAGCTGTCGGTGTCGCCGTCGTCGCTGCTGCTGCTACTCCTGCTGCGGCTACCGATTGGTTCGCAAGGAGTTTTTCAAGTCGTGGGAGCGCCGCACGTATCTGCTCATGCTCGGCATGTAACTCCACGATCACTATTTCCCTCCAGATGGCGATTTACATGAAGATGCGCGACGAAACTAAATGAATTTTAGATGCTGGTCGACTTACTGCGAGTCGAATCGACTGTAGAATCGACGAGTGCGAATTCTATCGGTCGCGTAATTCTCCCTTAGTCGAAATTCACGTCCAATCTGGGCCGTTGAGGAGAAACTCGATCTGACACTCCAAATTCCAAAATTCCAGATTCTCGGGATCATTGAGATTCAAATCTATCTTTCCACTTTTTCTGCAAATAATCCTGAGGAATGTTTAAAAACCGGATCGAGGGGGACTTAGGAAAAATGCGCGGAACTGGTTTTACATACACGTATCGGCGCTTTCGTTGTCGCCCCCGCGCTTTTTAAAGGCCGGTTTTAAGCGGTGGAAGACCTCGCGTGTAAACCCGCTCTGATTACCAAGTGTGAGGATATGGTTCAAAATAGATAAATCTACTGAATATTCCACCTGGGTACAAGGCGAGGCTATATATAGGCTCGACACAAAGGCAGTAACCCGGGTGTTACTAGAAGGTTCCGCTGGTCGCGAAGCGTCCAGAACGGGTCCTTCCCTAATTCGGTAGAAGGCAATTCGGTGGCAACCGAAAAGCCTAGAATACAGTGCACTCAACCTTCGGTGCCTATAATAACTACACTAACAGCAACGAACCTAGGAAATCAAGCAAAAGCATGCAAGATAAAATAAAGCTAAGCTAGATTATGTGCAATAAAGCATAATCAAGCGAGTAAAGTTCACCAAAGTCGTCGTACTCTCACACAGTCGCATTGTCTGTTCCCCAAGCCACCGATGGGCCAAGAATGCACCTCCACACTATTTGCTTTACCACACGATGATCCGCTTCCAGCCAGACATGGGTTTGTGAAGCTTCTCTCCTAGCCTCCAAGGAAGTGAAGCCCCTTGGGAGGGGCTTTCCTGGAAAGCGGTGGAAGGGAGGGGAGCCCTGAAGTGCAGGCTCCCCGTGTTAGTTTTAGACCTTAGATACGACACAGAGAGGGGGTTAAGGGTGAAACCGGACGGTCGTGAGGGATGGGTAGACTGCAGTATGAGGTACTAAACATGAGGTTCCCTGAAGGGGAGAAAATTTGCCGAGTACAGAGGTGTTTGAGAAAATGTGAACGAGAATGGATGAACTATGAAACAGTTGGGTACAAGTACTAACCCTAATTGGGTTGTACCCCATATGGGCTACCCCACCACAGCCTACACAAAAGCATAAGCTATAATGTTCTGACACACCCCCATAGGCAAAGTGGGGGGAGAACAAGCGGTCACAAGACCAGTCAAGCAAAGCAAAGCAAAGCAAGCTCAGGGTGGATCACAAAGTCACCACACATTACGAGCACAAGTTCAAGGCCACAAGGCCAGTTCACATGCATGAGTACATATATATAGAAAGCTAGACAAGCAAGAGCAGGTGTATATATATAAAACAGTACAAGCAAGGTCAAGAGGTGAGCAAGTGAGGCAAGACAGGCACAAGACCAAGCTGAGTACAGAAGCGCTGATGATCACAAGGCGCAAGTGCCTTGGTGAAAACATCAGCAGTGTTGGCCTCAGAGGCCACGTACGCAAGTCGCAACTGACCACGCTGCTGCAACTCACGAGCAAGAGAGTAGCGGAGAGCAATGTGCTTCGTTCTGTGCTCCAGGCGCTGCTCCCGACACAAGGCTAGCATGGCCTTGTTGTCTACGTACAGCACCGGAGGAGAACGAGGCGGCTCTCCGAGGTCAATTAGCAGGTAGGTAAGCCAGCGAAGCTCCTGTGCAGCCATGGCCCCAGCGTAGATCTCAGCCTCACAACTGGAGCCGAGAACAGAAGACGAGCGAGTAGCCCGCCACGAAACAGAGCCGGAACCAAGGCTAAAGGTGTAACCCTGTGACGACCGCTGCGTAGCCTGGTCGTCAGCCCAAGAAGCGTCCGCGTGCCCAGTGAGGACCACTGGAATCTGCCCTCCAAGCACTAGCCCCATGCCCGACGTACTGCACAAGTAGCGCAACACCCTCTTCGCTGCAGCCATGTGCTCTGGTCTGTGTCTCCTAGGAGCAACATAGCGTGCAAGAATGCTAAGAGGGTATGCAAGGTCAGGTCGTGTGCAGGTCATCAGGTACATAAGGCAGCCAACAAGCTCTGGGTACAGGCCACTCGACTCTACGGACTCATCCGAAGGCAGAGCTGAGAGCGAGTGGCGAGTAGACAGAGGAGTGGCCTGAGGCGAGGAGTACGTGAAGCCGAAGCGCTGAAGGACCTGCTGCACCATGTGTGACTGAGTCAGGGTAATGGTGCGGCGTGCTCTGTCCCGGGTGATCTCCAAGCCAAGGTAGCTGCGCAGTTCACCCAGGTTTGTGCACATGTGTCTCTTCTGCAGCTCGGACTTCACGTAGGCGAGTCCAGCAGTGTCAGCTGTGGCAAAGACCAAGTCGTCGACGTACACGAGGATGTAGAACAGCGGGAGAGAGGTGTCGGTGCGTAGAAATAGCGACGGGTCAGCAGTAGAGGGAGCAAACCCAAGAGCCTCAAGTGTAGTCCTCAGTGTGTTGTGCCACTCGCGCGGTGCCTGGCGGAGACCGTAGACTGGCCGTCGAAGGCTCCACTGGGTGCCAGGAGGGAAAGTCCCAGTGAAGCCAGGTGGACGGCGCAACCAGATCTCCTTGTGCAGGCTACCCTGCAGGAAAGCAGTGCTGAGGTCAAGGGAGTGAAGCTCATAGTCACACTGAGCGGCTACGTGTAGCAGCACCCGAAGAGTAGTCATCTTTGGGGTGGGAGAGAAGGTCTGAAAGTAGTCAACTCCCTGCCGCTGACTGAAGCCACGAGCCACGTACCGCGCCTTGAAGACAGGTGGAGAGCCCGGCGGCCGCTTCACCCTGAAGATCCACATGCCACTGACGATGTTCGCCCCAGGAGGGGGAACCGCGTCAACGTAGGTGCCTGTGGACTTCCACAAAGCCATCTCTGCATCCATAGCTGCCTGCCACTGAGAGGGGTAGGGACCCTCTACGGCCTCCGCGTAAGAGCGCGGAGTCGGGATGTCTAGTGCATCCGGGTCTCCCTCAGGGGTAAGCAGTACGGACGCGAGATGAGGTGAAGCAGCAGCCAGACACTGGAACTCCTCCTGCCTGTCCTCAAGGACGTCCGTGCCAAGAGTACACTAACCCCCGACGGACGGAGAACAGACAGACGCAGACTCAGCAACAAGACTAGCAGCGTAGTCTAGACGACAGCAAGCAGCAAAGTCGACGAGCTCAGCAACAAGAGCAGACGCGGCAGTGGACTCAAAGGAGGGGTCAGTGACGACAGTAGCAAGGAGACGCGTGACAGTAGGACTGGCAGCACGAAGAGAGTCCGACTCAGGGTTGGCAAGCGCAGGAAGAGAGGATTCAGGAGGAGAGGGCAAAGGGGCACGCAGAGGAGCAGTGGACGGACGCAGAGACATCCGGTGCGTGCCAGGGACAGGAGGAGGACGCAGACGCGAACTGCGACCACTAGTGCGAGCAGCACGAACAGGCGACGCATGACGAGACGCAGGCTCACGACGCTCAGCAAGACCTCCAGTAGGACCAGTGTACGGAGAAGGAGAAGGCAGTGGGGAGACTGGTGGTAATTGCGACTGCGACTGGACAGGCGGTGGACACCCTAAGGGAGGAGGAAGACCAAGAACTTGCTGAAGGAGCGGAACAAAGTACGGCCGAGGCCGCGCGGCGACTCCCGAGACAGCAGGGACAGCACCAGTACCCCCACCGGCAGCACCAGTATCAACAGCACCTTCAGCTCCAGTACCTCCAGCAGCACCAGTAGCACCCGCAGCAGGACCGCCGCCAGAACTGACAGGAGTAGCCTCAGCGCCAACACCCTCAGCAGCTCCGACTCCAGTAGCACTCGCAGGACTAGCACCTACGAGAGCGGCGGCACCAGCACCC